TGTTAAAAGCCAAGTTAACTGAACTGAAACACCAACAGTAACAGCATATACCGTAGTGATGCAGTGGTTAGAATGCAGTATTGCAGGCTAATTCTGCTGGCTGCTGACTGCCAGCAGTTCGAGTCTTGCTGGCTCAAGGTTGACTCAGCCTTCCATCCTTCCGAGGTCAGTAAAATGAGGACCCAGATTGTTGGGAGCAATATGCTGACTCTGTAAACCGCTTAGAGAAGGCTGTAAAGCACTATGAAGCGGTATATAAGTCTAAGAGCTATTGCTACACCAAGATGGCACTCTTATCAGTTGATTGTTAATATTTAACTGGAAAATGGCAGGGATATGTTTTCTAGGTCTGACATAAGTAAAATAAATAAAAGCATCGTTCACTCTAAGGTTTTTCAAAACTGCAAATTGCCTCTTAGGAGCTACCAGACAACGTTCTGAAGGGTAATTTCAGATGAGTTAGGCCTGAAAGCAATGGGTTAGAGATTCTACAGTCTATGTGACAGGCAGGGTTGTATAAGTCTGTCCTACAGCAAGTGTCTGAACTATTAAAGGAAGGTTAAATTATGGAAAGAGAAATTAACTGATTATATTTTGTATAAAGAAAAACCATAAAAAATAAGAAAGCAGAAAGAGAAACTGTATTTCAACAAGCTTATACTATATTTTCATTGTTTAAGTCAGAGATTTTTCATTACACACACACACACACATATTATCATCTGAGAGTAGGGACAGGATTTAAGCAAAGCTTCTCACTTCCTGCTTTGCACTCTCAAAAGATGAAGCATATTAACAGTTTATGGAAATGTGCTCTGGCCATGTATTGGAGTTCCTAAACTGAACTATTCATTCAAAAATTTTAAACAAGGAAAATTAATTCTTGTAAGCAAGAGCATTTTTACACAAGAAAATGTTTCAAATGCCTAATTCCCCACATCTAATCCAAAGTGCTCTCCATATGATGCAGCTCTCCAAAGGGAGAGCTGCATCATATGATTGGATGGAAGATTCCCATAGAACAGTGTTTCTCAACCTGGACTGGTTTCCGAGATGTGGACTTTTAACTCCCAGAATTCCCAAACCAGGTGTGGACTTTAACTCCCAGAATTCCCCAGCCAGTCTTGCTGGCCGGGGAATTCTGGGAATTGAAGTCCTCACTTTGGAAACCGGTCCAGGTTGAGAAACACTGCCATAGAGAGCTTCCTTTGGAGACAACATTGCATTCTTTGCACAACTAGGCCCAGAGTCCAAAGCTACATGTTTATGTCCTTTTTCTATAGTTTAATTCATAAAATTATGATCTTACATTCCCATTCTGTGCCTTGGCATGGGAGTGGGAGACAAAGATGCTGACATTCAAAATCTAACATTAATGCCAGACTGGTATAAAATGTGTCACTTCAGAGGCATACATCCTTTTTAGAAAAAAGTAAAGATCTTATAGTGCCATATTTACAATAAAGCAGGCCTGTTATTTCCTCTCTGCTCCTATTTGTGCACTGAATTATAATAGTCATCTACACATGCACTTAAATTCATGTAAGTATATCATCCTTTTATAAGATACATTAAAATGTTTGCTTGCTTAACTTTGTGTTACAATGCATTTTATTAATCAAGTAATAATGAGATATTAAAATACCATGTTTGCCTTTTAATTTTATTTTGTATACCTCTATCCACCTTTTGAGACCAAAATGAAAACAACTTGTAAAAACATGTAGCAAATAAAATAAAATAAAATAAAAAACGAATACTTTGGGTTGCAATCTAGTTCCATAGTTACTCAGACTTGGTCTTAAGGAACTCAACTGACAGAACTTTTGAATAGGCATGTATAAGACCGAGTTGTTAATTGTTCAGCACTGTAAATTTCCTTTCTAAATGGTAAAGAGTACCCACTTAACATTTCCAAATGATATAATCAAAATTTTAAGTTTCCCATTATTTGTGCCATCTGCTGAATAAGAGAAGGTTTAAAAATTTCTGGCCTTTAAAACACTGCATTTGTTTGCATTTACAATAAGAACTGTACTTTTATTAAATTGTTAAAATGTGACAATGATATCTTATGAATGTAATTAATGTACAGAACTTAATGGCTAATTCATCATAGCAGTCAGCCTTAAACAGAATAAATTAATGTATTACATGGAAGGGAAACTCTCTATTTCTATTTCTAGCTCCTCAAAAAAATTCTACTTGACAATTACCCGTTGAGATAGACATTTTGAAAACTGACTTATGAACCAGTGCAGATAATCATTCATAAAAGTTTTGTTCCATACATGTAGAACAGCCATATACAACATCACTTGTACTATTATGAGGGGATTTTCCAAACCTTTGTACGTGTATTTAATCATGTAAATATACACAGTACAATGGGCATACCCATAATCATTACATGTGGTTATTTGAATGGGTAAGTCAAAATCTTCCTATACTTGTGTAGGAAAAAAATGCAAAAAAGAGACATGATATGTTTAGGAATTATAAGAAAGCCAGTTTGGTCTAGTGGTAATGCCCTGAGCTAGAAAACAGGAGTCCGCAAGTTCAAGTCCTGCCTTAGTTATGAAAGCCAGCTAGGTTAGTTTGGGTCAGTCATTCTTTCTCAGCCCAGCCCACCTCACAGGTTTGTTGTAGAAAATAGAAAGAGGAAGGTGTGTTGGATATGTTCGCTGCCTTGAGTTATTTGTAAAACTAATAAAGGCAGGATGCAAATAAATAAATAATACTATTGGAATTAGGCTTGATCAGATATGTACCCCAGTACTCTAATTGAACTATATTATGAGGTTCAGGCAATAAGATGGCACTCTGAAACTTCATGCACATCATATTTTGGGGATTATGACATGAAATGTTTTTGCATTCATGAAGATTGAGTATTGCAGTGTTTAACCCTACATGCTAAATTTAGCCCTTGAACCATCAACATGAGGATGAAGTACAAATGAGATCATTTAATGGAGCTAGTTACATGCACTTAGGCATTCAATGTTTAGTCCCTAATCTGTAACTGTATTATTTGATTATATGTGATAAAAGAATATTATGCCTGAGCTATCTAGTTATGTATATATTACACTTCAGATATTAGCATAACCCAAAATATTTTGGGATAACTAATTATGAGTTCTACAGTGAAATATAAGGGACAGTATTATTTAATAATTAATTATTATATTTGTTGGATCAAGTCCTTGTTCACAGAAGTTCAATCTTTTGGCCAAATTTTTGTTTCACTAAATTACTGCATTAAAAATTGTTCTCTGTATTAGATTTTAAATACCATGTAGTGCTAAGTAGAACTCTTATAATCAAATGATAACAGGATAATTATGATAACTACAAAGAGTGCTATTGTTGAGAATATCATTTATCAATTCTGTGGTCCCCATTATTCTCTCATTTTACAGGTTGGGAATACAGTAACTTCAAAGAACAATAATCCAGAATGGCTACATTTTTAATAATTCATGCTCACTTAATAAATATTACTAATAATCATAATGAAAGGATGGTTGTAAAAGTGGAAAAATGTAAAATTTTATTCCAAGGAAAATTAACAGGCTACACAAATCAATTTTGGCAAATGCAACTTTATATTGAAATCCACACATCTGTATCTTAAAGAAGGAAAGACTCACAGACTCAAATGTCTTTCTAAGGTACTAGAAATCATATTATATGCTTTCACAAGTTAAAATTGAAATTGAAACAATTAATACAATAAAAATGTGCAGAAAGTATCAACAAGACTGTGCCTTCAGTAGAATAAATGCTTTACACATTGTGCAAGGTATCTTACTAAGGCTGAGGTCTTCCCATGAAAATATAAACACACGTAGACTGACTGTGTTTCTCAGAACAAATTAGAATGGGCAACACACTTAGAGAGGGGAAAAAAATAATATCCTAGCAATAGGCATACTGATCTGGGGGAATCATGGGAATAAAAATAGGATTTAAGTGATCTTTCATGCATTCCCAAATGACAGACTAGAGTGACCGATTCATTTTTCTTTACTTATCTGCTAAAATGCTGAACAAAATGGAAGATACTAGATAATCCCTTAAGGCAACATGTGGTATATTCCATGTAAGGATTACTGTTTGACATTACAATTGGATAATCTCATTAATGTTGCCTATCTGACTAATATCTAGCTTTTGAAAATATAAAATGGGTCTAATCAATATTAAATCAAATTACACTTTTTAAAAAAGACATAAAGGAAACAAACAGAGAGTACAATTATATGCATGTAATATTTCATTCAAAATGAAAGAATTTTAAACAAAAAGGAATATACTCAGAGAACATTAAAAGTCTTTAATTTAAACAAAAAGGGGGGGAGAAAAACCTAGAAAACAGAACTGCTTTGGAATGTTCCTCTAAACTAACAAAGGATGAAAATTCAGCACTACATGGCACATCAATTCCCGTCAACTACAGGACTTCAGTCGGTCCCTAGATTTTAGTCTTCAAAAAATAATTATTATATGAAATGGTTGAAAGCTCATCCAGTGCCTAAAATTAGTTTTAACAACATATTAACCTTTTGTCAAACTTAATTGTTTCAGTTGTCCAATGCTAACCTTTTTGATGGTCTTACTTTATGTCACGGTATATATACAGCATTTAGTGCTGATATATTTAGCACCTGCTACTCTCTGACTCATTACCTAGATTTCAACCATATCAAAGCAATTTAGGGCAATGGCTCAGTCCTTTATTCTTAATTACAAACCGCCCCGAATGGTCAGCAGGAATAAGTTTAGATTTCAAAATAGGATTTAATGATAAGCTATTGCAAAAATGGCAGAATATTGTTGCCCAAATCCTTACAATTGCTGACATGCCCCCTTTAATGCTGTTATCTTCCTTCTCCTCTTCTTCTTCTCCTCTAGACATGGCAACAGTAACCCCACAATTGCTTAGTAGAGAAGGGTAGTGTTTTCACAAGACTAAAGATTTTACAGATGCTCCCTCATATAACACAGTAAGGTTCCCTTGGTAACCTGGATTTTCTGCAGTAAAGAAGGGTTGTGCTGAAGCAGCGCCTCAGCTCTCTGTTGGAGAAAATGCACACAAAAGGATTGATTCCAGCTTGGGCAAAACTCATCCAAACAGCGGCTGTTAGAAATCCCCCAGGAACCACAGGGCCTCTTGTAAAAACTCTCCAGTAACAGGCGACCAGATAGGGCCCCCACAAGGTGAGAAAGAGGAATGTCATTATATAGAACATTCTACTGATTCGTTTTTCCATTTTGAATTCATCCAACACAAGTAGCCTTCTCCTACTTGTGGTGTTGGCATTTTGCCGGATCCCCAGCAAGGTAGGTGGCGTGGGGCCCCTTCCAAATCCAGCCAGCCAATTTGCAGCCGCTTGACCACTGGCTCCAGGACCATGAAATGTCCAGTTCTGGCTCACCGCAGCAACAAACTGAACAGGCTTCATTTTCCTACGATCATGAACAAAAAAGATCAGCTTGAGGTAGACAAGCTGTGTGGCTAGAAGGATAAGAGCAAGAAGCAGCATGAATCCCAGCGAATCATTGGCTCTAAAGGAACGATGCTGAAAGGTACACTGGTCTTCCTCCCTAATAAATGAATACGTGCCCACATCCAATACTGGAGGGAAAGCCATAGCTACAGATAGGGTCCACACCATACAGATCACTGCTAAACAAGTCCAAAAGGACAGTCTTTTTGTATAAAAACGGTGGTGGGCAATAGCTAAGTATCTGGTGACGCTTATGCAGAACAGCATGAAAGCTGTGTGGAAACAGGACAAAACACCCAAGAAGGCAATCACTTTGCAAGTGAGGGTCCCATACGTCCAAGATGATCCATTTTTCACAGAAGTAAAAACAAATGGGAAACAAATTGCAGATCTGAGGATATCTGAGCAGCAAAGATCCAAGAGGAAGTAATAAGGAGCTCTATGTAAGGACTTGTCTTTAATGAGCAAAATGGAGATCAGGAGGTTCCCCACCACACTGACTCCTATGATGAATCCCAGAGAAGTCAATTTCAAAAATGCTGTTAAAGGGGAAAGATTTTGCAAAATGTTGTCAGCTGCATGGCTGTAGTTCGCCATAGATGGATGGAAGATAAGAAGGTTGCCTTAGTCAAGTTTCATGATCTATATATATGAATAAGGAACAAATAGATCCATACATCTTACTGTGATTGTATTCCAAAAGCAGGTCTGACCTGGGATTTAGTTACATAGTATGTTCTCTTTTCTTCCATCCGATTTGTCATGCCATCAAAATATCTGGAAGAAAAAAAAATCAAGCCATCAGGCCTTAAGTTAACATATAAATAATGCCAGGATGAGCTAACCAATGTTAATTTATGGAGAGCCAAAGGAAGCTGCAAGTTGGAGTACTATTATTTGTTTGAGGGAAATTCAGTGAGAACTGCACACCTACTATGCAATGCTTTAGGTTTATTCACAATCCCTCAGGTTGTTTACAGTCAAATCTCTGGGCAAGGTGAAAAACCTGTACTTTCCCTGCTTCCAAACAGCTGGATTCATACAAGATAATTCCAAGTACTATTGACACTGGTATATTTTGAAAATAAAATGGGAAGGAAGTCTGTTGAATAGCTTTGTCTTGTCCACCTTTTCTGTTTATATGATGTGCTTCAAGGAAGATGCTGGGCTGATATGGAATACATCCAAAAGAAACCCCGCAGAACGTATGTTTTCTAACCCAACTTACCAATGCATATAATCACAGACTGCTAGTTTATCCACCCTGAAAGAAGATAACAGAAACACAATTTTCCCAGTGATTTGCGTTCAACCTGTCCTCAGACTTGTAAATAAGTGCCTGTGCTAAAATGTTGACAGCCCTGTGTTTTATGGGCTTTTGTGTCGTCTTCTTATGATATGGAGTTGGGGAAAAGCAGAGCAATACTGAATATATCCAGGGAGATAGTCATGTGTGTCTAGAAAACATACCCCAGGAATAACATCTCATTCAGACATTTTCCACCCAGGTTACCACAAAATGCAAAGATCCATATTTGGACCATTGAACTCCAGGATTTGTTTTGATGCTCTCTCCCAGAAATAGTTCCTGGACCTAGAATAAAATGTCCTGCTACTTCCAGGGATTTGGGGGTAGGAGAGTCATTCAAGGCAGCAGCAGGCAAGGCTGCTTGTTCGCCTCTTTCCCTGTAGTGTTCCTCCCACCCCCGCCGTCGCTTCTCGGGTTTACAATATCGCATCCAAGGAAAAGCCCTTCCACCATTCCACCATCCAGGAATTTTGCCTGACTGCTGCTGCTGGCCGGTAAACAAGAGCTCGATCGGATCACGACAGCATTGTTCGAAAAACAGACACATCAACATAAACACATATAGCCTCCATCAATCAAACAAACCCTCCGACCCCGCGAAATGTGCTCCCCTCCACCTCCAGTCCCCTCTTCCATGTATATCCACACGGCGTCGAGAGGCCAGCAGAGGCAAAGGGTCTGCTTTCGGAGCTCCGGGCTTCACCTGCTGGGGGCATCGGCTCTCAGACGCCGACTTTTCCCTTCATCAACTGATTCAAAAATGACCCCCCCCCCGAGAAACCACCACAATACCCGATCAACCTGAACGATAGAGGGAGGGGGGTCCCTCCAGCCCCGCTCCGACTGCTACGTCGCATCTCCCCTCCTCAGACAGATAAATCCCGAGTCACACACATACACGCGCGCGGCGTTCCCCCTATACCTGTAGGTGATGGAGAAAGGGGAGATAGAGAGAAGCCGCCGCCCCCCCCCTCACCAGACCTTCTTTTTTCTATTTGCTGGTATTTTCATGCCTTGATTTATTTCTTTATTTCCTGGGCTCCTAGGATGCTCAAGCTCCGGAATCAGTGGGTTCAGCCGGCGCATGCTCAGTGAACCTCCGTGAGCGCCTAGCCTCGTCTTCCCCGTTGCAGCCACAGAATCTCTCCCACTAACGCAGCAGCAGCAGCAGCCAGTTCCCCGTCGCCGTTGCCTCGAAGAGCACGCACAGCTCCAGGAGCCGCGGGAGCAGTCATGCAAGAGGCCGGCCGGGCGGCCGACAAAATATCTCTGCCACGGCTGCAACGCTAGGCTCGGAGTCCTACTGGCCCTTTAGCGCGACAAGCCCGGAGCAGGTCTGGAATGAAGCGCTCCAAGGCTCGATTCGGAACTCGCCTGTTTTCAGTCCGGGAGAAGCTCCCTTTCTACTTCCCCTCCCCATGGCTCCCATCTCCCCCCCCGCCGCCCCCATCTCTTTCTCCTGATGATGACTGCATCGTTATTGCACTTGACAGAACTGTGGTGGGAGGAGGGACAAAAGATGAGGATGCTTCCTCCTGCTTCTGAACTGAATTCCTCCTATTCCTTTTTGGCAAGGAAGTGAGGAACTTTCCCTACTATTACTTGCAACAACGTGGTGCTTGATATTTTTTTAAATAGTAAAAGACTGCAGAAATTAGGAAGAGAAATTCAGGAAAGAGAGTACTCTGGGCCCATTATCTGTTATGCCTAAATTCCCAGGAATTCATGATTTGCCTTACTGGGGGATGGAGGATCTAGTTACCTGGAAATCAGTTGTGGCTCCAGCAGTATTGAAAGATACAAATGGAGCTGTGGAATTGAAAAGGTTCTGGTTTCTAGTGTGGACTGGGAGGTAGGCGGGGACACAGAGAAAAGCTATGTCCACTTTTCTGGAAATGGAGAATTTGGGCCCATGTTAGAGGCAGGAATTATGACTGAGTTTACCTTCATGCTTGTACCCCTGTTGAAGGAAAAGTCTTCATCGTGATTCCAGTTTATTGAAGAGCCAGACAGAAAGATGGTTCTGGTAGGAAAGAGGAGAGAAATAAAAGGGCTGAGCACATGTAGGGAGTAGGTTTTTATACCCTCTGGAGCCTTTTGTTTTGAGTTGCTTCCTGTTCCTGTGGCATGAACTTTGACCTGAGTTTGAGTGTGCTTTTCTGGTATTCTGATGGCGATGGGTTAGTCCTATTATGACCAAAGGTCATATCCTGCTTCCCTGGGACTGGGGCTGATGAGGTATGCAGATTTCTTAGATTAGATTTAGATTTAGATTAGATTTATTATATTTATACCCCGCCCTTCTCCCGGAGGACTCAGGGCGGCTTACAGCCAGTTTAAAAACAGTTTGATACAAATACAAAATACAAAATTTAAGAGAATAATTAAAAATAAATATTTAAATAGGCCGCTTCTACTAAAATTTAGTTAAAACCAATTTAAAATACCCCTAGGCCAGTCCTGCCCG